TGGCTGCTCCTTCGCATTGCTCGTAGAATTCCCCCTTCCAGCTGAAATATGTCGACGATAGGCAGTATTCCACTAGTCCTGGGACATACTTGGGCAAACCCTCCGGGATGAGTTTCTGGCGAAGACCATCCACGGCATCCTTGACTGGTACTCTGGTGAATAGAGATTCCACGTCAAAACTTACCAGCATATCCTGAGGGTCTAGCTTCATACTCCTAATTGATTCTACAAAATGTGTGGAATCTCTGACATATGACTCTGTTTTACCTGTAAAAGGAGACAGAATCTTGGAAAGGTGTTTTGCTAGTTGATAGGTGGGAGAATTTATGGCACTGACAATAGGGCGTAGTGGGACGTCTGGTTTATGGATTTTGGGTAATCCATATATCCTTGGTGGTACTGGAGCCTGTACGAATAAGCTTTTTTGTTGATCTGCTGAGATTTCTATGGATTTTACCAGTTCTTTCATCTTCCTTACTATCTTATCGGTTGGATCCTTTTTTATTTTCGTATAGGTGGCTGGCTCCAAAAGGCTCTTGATCTTGTCGTCGTATTCCTTTCTGTCCATAACCACGGTCGCATTCCCCTTGTCCGCTGGTAGGATGATAATGTCTGGTTTTTCCCTTATCGTTCGTAGTGCTCTTCTTTCGTTTATTGTTAAGTTAGATTTTGGTGGCTTTGCTGTTTTAAGCACTCTCGCTATGTCTTGACGAATTTCCTCTGCTTTCACTGCAGGTATTCTGCGAATAGCCGCTTCCACTTCACATGTAATTTCTTCTTTGGGAACCCTCTTTGGAGCGACTACATAATTTAAGCCTTTGGCGAGTACTTTAGTTTCCTCCTCTGTTAATGGGACGCTTGATCGGTTGATAACGACTGTTTCAATTGGCAAATCGTTGTTTTTCCTCTTGTGGGTGCGGCGGTCCAACGATTCGAATTTCTTAATCTGCTTATCCCAACATCTTTGGAAATCACGTTCAGCCTTCTCCATGGTTATCCTGTCTACTTTGTCCCAGTCTTCTCTTGCCATGGAATTGGAAAGTGAGTTCTTCATTCTTACTATACCTGTACGTTCAATATGCAACTCATTCAAAATCCCTTTTTGTAACTTTTTAGGAATTGCACCACGGATACCTTTCAAAATGCATCCATTTTCTATGGAATACCTGACTAACTCATCAGCTTTCATTTCAGATCTACTTTGGATGTTCTTATAAGATTTGCAGTTTCAGAATCCTTAAGAGTTTTTTTTTTAATTTGTTCTCGTCCAATTGGTAAAGTATCTAATTAATTAAAAGCATAAGTTGAATCCATATCCAAATATTTGTCCTTTCCGTAATGTGGTCTTGAAAATCGAGATAATATTGAATTCCGTACTTAAATCCTGCCAGAAAATTTGCATAATGCAACAATCGTATTGCAGATGTTGCTGCAAGTCCCTTGTTGGATGAAAAATTCTTGTTAAAGGCTTATGATCAGTTATCAGTGTTATAGGTCCATAACAGTATAAGAAAAATGTCTTTAACCTCCAATAATTCACCAGCCCTAGAAATGTTCTCACCTCAGATACATTCGTTGGTTTCGGACAGTTTGTAATGGTTTTTATTTTGTTTTAAGTAGGATGAAGTCCAGTTCTATCAATTTTATGTTCCAAAGTACTCCATAGCGTTATCCACAAGAAATTGACATTTCTTCTTTTTCAATTGTAGTCCTAGTTTAACTTTTGAAATACCATTTCCAAATTATGAAGAAAATCTTCTTTAGTCTTTCCTTGGACTAATATATCGTCGAAAAAACACACTCTCCGTTCAACTCTTGTAGAATTTCATCCATAAATCGTTACCACACGTTAGAAGCTATTTTTACTCCAAACATTAACCGTTTGACCTTGTATGTTCCTAGATGAGTACTTGTTGTCTGCACTTTCGTCACTAATTCGCATGTGCAGATAAGCTTGGTTAATATCCAATGTGCTAACGAATTTTCCTCCACTCATCTTGGCAAATAAATCGTCGATTCTTGATATAGGATAATTATCATCTTGCAGATATGTATTTATCTGCAATATTTCTCCATCTATTTTAACAACAGGAACAATTGGGCTTCCCCATCTTTACCACATGTTTTACATTTTAAGTTCTTCTTGCACGTTGCAGCGAAATGGATAGATTTTCCACATCGGAAATATCCCTTCTGTGTAGTCTGTTTTGTAATTCTTTTTTTATTAATGTAATTTAATCCTTTTGTTTCTTCTAATTCTCTGCTTTCTGATTTAGCTGCTTCAATCGATAAAGCTAATTTAACAGCTTTGTCAAAACTTAATAATAATAACCCTTTTATTACATTGCAAATTGTTAACTGTCAAAATCCCTCTTTTTATTTTATACCAACCCACGAAAATGAAAACTCCCTAGATATATAACACTTTTTAACGCACAATTGTTATTGGAAAAGAAAACGCCGCCCGCAGCGTTACGAGGGGTTGATCGACGAAGGGTGGGTTTTGTCCCTCGATAATTGTGAGCAGTGTTTCCGACAACAAAAACTTTATTAACTCGTTCGATCAACAAGGAATTTAAAAACAAGTACTTACAAAATCAATTTTATTTATATTTTTGTATCTTAAAAGAAAGTAATTGATTACAGGTCGTCGTAATGAAGGGGTGCATTGAAATGTTTCGCCCTTAAAGTGAACTCGTTCCCGTCAATATCGAAGTAAATCAAAGCATCGGGATCGCAGAACATGTTCAAAAATATCTTCAAGGTTATTTCTAACAAAATCATGTTCAACACTATCAATAGAAAAGCCGCCCAGGCTAAACGAACGTTTAACGGCCAATTATAACGTTTTCTTTCTAATAATATCAAATACATTTTGACAAATCTTTGATGTTAATAACTGTCATGTAAGAATTTTTTGGGTTATTTTGAAAATTATATGTTTTTTTTGTGTGTGTTAGTGCAAGTGACATAACCCCTAATTCGGAAATAAGTTTTGTCCGGCCTTCCAGATTAGTTCACTTAGTTACGCGTCTGCGGAAGACGTGCGTGTGCACGTGGCGCGTTTGTAACGCACAGACGTGTAAGCGGCATGATTCGGGGGCGTCGCGATACCCCACGGATTGAACACGCGACCGAACGTACGCACGAATTTTTGACGCCCCCGCCGCGACCAAACGTATTCCTCCCCCAACAACATAAAGACCAACATCCAAGATTTTTTTTTGGCCTACATATAAATATGTATTATTTTGTACTAATTTCGTTTCAATTACTTTCGATTAATCATACTCACATTTGAGTTTTATTAATAGTATAGATGAAAGATTATGTTTTAGTACTATTTATCCGAGGTTGCTTAAGACTCACTTAGGGCTGGTTATACAAGATACCGATAAATCTTCTGATAACTATCCGACCAATAAACTTATCGGGAGGATAAAGATATTCGCTGTTGTACAAACTGTTTTTATCGGCAGGATTGCTATCGGCGAAATAAAAGTCAGTTGGTAGTAGTTTTTCCCCATATCTATAACGTAGGTTGGTAACGCTAACGTCTCTTTTTGAAGTTTGAATTATGATTTTGACAATAGCTTTTGTAGCGTGCTGTGGCAGCAGCTCCATTTAAAAACATAAAATGTAACTTCATTTGTTATTATTTTAATATTTGAACACAATTGTTTTTGGAGACAAATATAACAGACGCAAAATAAAAAGTCTGCCAAAAAGTTAATTTTATTATTATGTTGGCTAATACCTCATAGCCACAATTTGGTGACCCCAATCAAAGCAACTCGCAAGCTGGAAGATTCTTCCCCCACCCAGATCAAACCAACTCGCAACCAGCAAAATTCTTCCCTCAACCCGACCAAACCAGCCCGATTAAACCAATTCACAACCTGAAAATTATCCCTTCAACCCGACTAAACCAGAACGACAAATGAGAATCAACTGAAAAATTCAAGAATCGCCAGTGGGGAGGGGATCTCAAATGAATGAAAATTATAACCGTCGTCAACGCCATCCGATGTCACCGTCGATAACTAATTCTACACAAATTCAAATTTAAACAACCTTTAAGGCGGCTTATATTTCATTTCTTTTTTTTGTATTCATCTTTGATTAATTAAGTCAAATTAAGTGATGTCAAATATAAATGATATTGATAAATCAGTTAATTTTTTTAATAAGTGTAATTTATGAGTGTAATTTTGTAATTAAGTGTAAAAAAGTGTAAAAAACATTTAAAATTTTTTAAATGATAAAAATGTCGGTTATTATTCCTTGCTGTGTACCATCTTGCGATGATAGACATTAAAAGGTAAATTATAAAAATTATTAATTAATACAGCATAATTACTTTCATTCTGTATTTCTAGATATTATTTTCCGACCGACCCTATTATTTAAATCAACAT